CAAATGTTGGTAAGTCGACATTCTTCAATGTCCTCACCAAAAGTGAAGCTGCAGCTGAAAATTTTCCATTTTGTACCATCGATCCTAATGAAAATAAGTATTTTTTGTAATTTATTATAAAATTAGTATAATACCTTATAATATAGTTAGTATCTATCTGTTTTGCCAGTGGTGTTGAATTCGATTCAAAAATTGGTTTAGTTATTAACTAAGACATCATAATCCATTTCATCATTCAAGACCTATACAATGAGCTTAAATATCAATAATGTTTCATTTTCACTCAAAAATATCCAAGATAATATCAATATACTATACAAAACAGGAGGGGGTGCTATTGAGGCCAAAGCCTTAGATTTGAAAATGTATTTTTTTATCAATATTAGTTAATATATTAAAATGTGAAATACTAAATATCTAAAGTGCCAACAATACTATATTACATGTTTATGGATTATAATTTTTAAGCCAAGAGTAATTTATAATATTTATATGAGTAATGAGTTATAACAATGTAAGCAAATTCTTCATTAAATTTTTTTTCTCTAAACTGGTTGTTAAGTAATTTTATTGTAGGTTTATTATTTTATCTGTTATTTATTTGTATTTCCCTAAAATGTAGAGTCATATCTATTGGTATTAGCAAGGAAGAACATATTATACAAAATAAATAACATTTTTTAAAAGCCAGTCAATTTTTTTTTTAATATTTCAATTTGTTTTTAGGTAAAGAAAATAAAATACTTTTTATATCTACCTACTATGATTTATTGAATAAAGTAATTACAATATTTTTACATATATGTATAAAAGTATTCATTTTACTCAATAAATTGTTTTTACACACCACCTACATCCAATTTATATGGTTCAATATTTAAATATCTGTCTTAAATATGTGTTCCACACCACTGTATTTAACTATTGTAAATATAATTATTGTAATTATAAATTAATGATATGATTTTTTTTATTCCCTTCTAGCAAGTCGTGTACCAGTACCTGATCAGCGATTTGATTATTTAGTTGAATATTTCAAACCAACCAGGTTAGTATCTACTACAATTATTAAGAATTGCATTTAATAATCTTTTAAACAATGTTCATCAATAGTGAATTAAAAATTGAAATTTTTGATATATTTAGATTAATGTTCAGCTATTTATATTACAAACCTATTCACAATATTCTTTGGTATGTGGTATTGAGAAGTTAATAAAAATGATAGTATAATATGTATACGTAGTATAGATATAATATTATTTATTATAATAATTAATATGGTATTAATATGATATACCTAAGAAGTAGCAATGATTTTGGTAAAAAGTAGTTCAATATACTGTAGATACTAATAGTAGTATAAATAAATTGTTAAGTCCAGTGTGAGAACTGACTCTTGATATTTTGAAATTTTTCAGGAGGTATAATATAATTCCTTGTTATTGTATGGACAAAATTCTTTTTTTTTATTTGTTTAAGCTTCGACAACTTAAGCCATTAGCTGTAGGTTGTGGTACTGTAGGGTTTTCGGAACTGTAGGGTTACGGAACACGTGTGTGTTTGTTTGACAGAATTTCTAGTGGGCAGCCGTAGGTTTCTGCCATGCCCGGTTGGGGGATGGTGGGGACAAAATTCTTCTTTATCAGAAAACAGATAAACTTGTATTTCCAAAAAAATTGGCTATAGTCTGTTCTTAAGTTGGACTTTTCAATCATAAGATATCCTTATAAAATAGAGTTTCAAAGATTTATCATTGAATTCAAATTGAACACATCCGTAATGGATGTCATTGTAATAATGACCTATTAGATGATAGTACACTCAAAACCATACTATACAGGCATAAAGAAGAGCGATTTCATAGTTAATTCATTTTAGAGATATATTTTTAGATATCTTAGTAGATTTTTCAAATTTAAAAATTGATTTACAATTTTAATTGGCAAATACATTTTTTTACTAAAAGTCAATATTTGTTTTCTCTCTCAGACCCACGTTCAACGTAGATACAAAACTCACACCTAAACTTTTTAGCTTTTATATAAAATTACCTATTACATATATTGTAGAAGATAATATTATTTTTAAAGGTTTGACATACTGCTTTTATATTTTATTATTATTTGACTTTGTTGGTATTCGGCTTTCATAATAAAAAACAATGTTTGTAAATTTAAATGATGTTTAATCATGATAATTAGAAATGTAGATAATGAGATAATATCATTCTCCCTAACATATTCTCTATAATTTTTGCAATGGGTGATTTTACTCGTACTCGAAAACATAAAAAAAATGATTCTGCATACAAATGCGTTTAGTCCAAGTTGTGTTTGAGCCAGAGAGAGAGAGAGAGAAAACGAACAGTGAGCTGACATACTCTTGAGTCATTTAAATCTTATTAGGTATTTTTTTTTTAATATTCCAAGTAAAATGCATTCATAACTATTATAGACATGTCAAAGTATTAACTTAAAATCTATCAAATATTATAATTTATAGATGTACCTATGTAATACAATATCACGACTAGACGTTTACAATTTAAATATAAAAACCAACAAAAAAAAGTATTTGATTCAAATAAAATAATGAATGCGCTAAACACCTTAGCTATTATGTAGTAGATAGATAAAATATAAATTTAAATCAGTTTTTGAATGGTTTGGGATATTTGATATTGTTTGGAACAATATTCACGTGTATCATATGATGAAAATACAACGAAAAACGCGTAATTTTCATTGGTTATATTATATTAAAAATAATGACGGTTTTTACAATCTACAACAGAAGCCGGCGGATCACTCGCAATTAACTTTAATAGCCCATTAAATCATGTTTACAAATTACTGTACAGGTACGGCGGTGCCAAAAATATTGTCGGCGCTATAATAAAGCATTCTGTATTTTTGTAATATTATATGAGGCTGCAGGTTCTAGGTACCTATACCTCCTCTTATTTGTAGGTCGTAACTTATATAAGTACCCTGCAGTCCGACGGAATGCCCGCGGGGACGACGGACCGGGTAAAAATCCAAAAACCGACAGAGTCCTGGCCCTCTTAATGTGACCTAGCTATTAATAAGGTCAGCGAGGTATATTAATGTAATATGAGGTAGACAATTTTTCGTTTTCATTCACATCGCGCAATAAGTGTAGATTGGTACCTATAATACCTTCGGAATGGCTTCCCAGTTCCCACAACCACTTCGGCGCCGCCACCGCCGCCGTCGGGTATACTGATTTATTGGGAGGAAATCTCGGTCGGTAGCTGTGGTTGTACCCACCCATCCGCGCACCGCCGACGTGTAATTCCAGAGGACGAAAAAATCCAATCAACGGTCGTTCCCGGTGGGCTTTGTAATTTAAAAATTTTCCCCTCGTAATTCACCCTTTGGTTTAACGGGATTTTAATTCCGGACGCGGGATAGCCGGTAGGTAGGTCGTAGGTACACCACTATACACTTTTAATTTAGTTTTATACTTGTATATACAACTCTCCGTCGTTATATACGCCCGATGAGACACAACATCCATATACATAATGATGAACCTAGATATGTGGTACTCATCATCCTACTTGATACACTTACAAGTTTACAATATATATTATAATTTGTAACAATCAGTGCTAGGATTATTTTTTTTGATCTCTAGGATGGCATACCTAGAAGGATTCAGGCATTAGAGATTTAATTTATTTTAACATTTTGTTTTTCAATTTCCTGACTTAGATTATCTAAGTGAATTTTTTAGCATTTAAAAGTAATTTTTGTTGTTTCCTTTCATAAATACCTGTTGAGCTCTTCGGCCATGTCATAATTACTGTGTAATCAATATTTGACACCAATTACTGTATTGTTTATGTTTATTTTATCTATCAAGTTTAGATTTCTCTATACTTATTTGTTATTGTGAAGTACAAAAGTACAAACTAAAAATTGTTTTAGATTTTTTAAGTTTTTAGGTTACATTAATTCTAGACTGGTTTACAATGTTTGTTTATATATTATATTTTTTCCCAGCAAAGTCCCAGCATTTTTGAATGTTGTAGACATAGCCGGGCTAGTCAAAGGAGCTGCAGAAGGCCAAGGTCTTGGGAATGCCTTTTTGTCACACATAAAAGCGTGTGATGCTCTGTTCCATTTGTGCCGTAAGTTTAATTTAAATTTAAAATAGTGTAAAATGATCTAGAATTAGTGAGCTGAACTATGTTTATTTTGAAAAGTGTTGATCATTTATGGGGTGACAGTAAGATATCTTGATCAATGATTGGAAGTTACGAAATATAATAATAAAGAGTCTATTGGCATTGTAACATCTCTAAATCATAAATTTAAATTTTTATTTTAAAATCAACAATTTTACACTTCTATACTAATTAGACAGAAACTAAAAATGATGTACATACTTTGCTATGAATAATATTTTCTTAATTTTATAAAACTCGTTTTTTGTTTTTGATTTAGATTATTTTTGCTAACCAGTATGGCAGTATTTAAATCTTATATATGATTTTGTATAGGTATATTATATAATAGCCTTCAATTTAATTTAATTTATTGGTTATGATATTAAATTTGATATTCATAAATAAAACATTTAAAATTTAAACGTATAGCTTATTTATAAAGTGTATGCTTTCTTGTATCATGATACAAAAAACAAATTTTTTAAAGAATTGAAATAAAACAAAACAAAATATGATAATCATTTAGTATAATATGTTACTAAGTGGTAAATACATAATTATTTTGAATGCAGCAAATAGTTTAGAGTAAGAATATATTTGTTTTTAAACACCGTATACTAAGTTAGAATTGTGTTGATATTTTTTTATTATGATTGACATGATTTTTTACAAAAACAAAATACAAAATATTGTTTTATTTTATGTATTTTTTCCCTATTGTTATTATTGTTAAACATACATAAATGTATTATTTTGTATGTACCCTTCAAAAATTAATAAATAAAACATAACTATTGTGCAATGTTAATTATTCATTAAAATTTATTTTTTTTTAATTGTTACATGAAAATATTTTAAGATGTCTTCATCTATACATTTTAACAATCGTATACCTAAGTCTTGAAGTTGCAATTCTTTGTTATCTTTTACACTGAAAAAATTGTAATAGTTATAATCATTCTTCACATAATAGCCAATAATTACTAATATATGTTATATCTAGGTGCATTTGAAGCTGAGGATGTAATTCACATCGAGGGTGAAGTCAACCCTATTAAAGATATGGAAGTTATTAATGAAGAATTACGTTTAAAAGATGAGGAATATTTTAATGTCAATTTGGAAAAACTTGAAAAATTGGCTATACGCGGTGGAGATAAGAAACTCAAGCCAGAATATGTATGTTGGTTGCACCTATTCAGTCACTATTCAGTTACAGTTTAAATGATTTTAACACTTCAATTATATTTGCAGGACACTTTTCTAAAAATTAAAACTATTTTAGTCGATGAAAATAAACATATCAGGTTTGGCGATTGGAGCGCTCTTGATGTAATTAACAATAAACCAGAATTTGGATAACTTAAAATACTGATAAATTTTATTATTTTCAGATAGAATTTCTCAATAAACATATGTTCATTACAACAAAGCCAGTCATTTATTTAGTAAATCTATCGGAAAAAGATTATATCAGAAAAAAGAACAAGTGGTTGATAAAAATTAAAGAATGGGTTGACAAAAATGATCCTGGTGCAATTATTATACCGTTTAGTGGAGTTTTTGAAAATAAAATTATTGAAATGGAAGTACCAGAACGCAAAAAATACATGGAAGATGTTCAGGCTACAAGGTTAGTTATTAGAAAAAAAACATCAAATTTTAAGTTAGAAATTCAAGAAAAATTGAGATTTGAAATCAAACTGTTCAAATAAACAATAGAGGTTTGAGTATGACAGAATTAATTTGGAATTTTTTTTAAATCTGTTATGGTTAAATTGTGAAGTTGACTTTGGATACTTTTGAGTTAGCTGAGAAAGAAATTAAGTTTGATAAAATCTACCAAAATGTATTATTATTCCTATTTTTTATGTAAATATTTATGATTAGTGCATTGGACAAAATCATTATCCAAGGTTACAAAGCATTGCAGTTACAGTATTTTTTCACTGCTGGACATGACGAAGTCAAAGCTTGGACTATTCAAGTAAATATATAATAGTAAATTGTTCATAAAATTAAGTTGTATTTTATTTTTTTTTTCATTGGTTATAGAAAGGTTTTAAAGCACCCCAGGCAGCTGGAAGAATTCATACGGATTTTGAGAAAGGATTCATTATGGCTGAAGTGATGAAGTTTGAAGATTTCAAAAATGAAGGAACTGAAGCTGCTTGCAAAGTAATTAATGAAATGCTTATTTATTCATTAATTTATTTATAGGTACCTACTAACACTTTAATATAAAATTGTTAATTTCAGGCTGCAGGAAAGTATAGACAACAGGGCCGAAATTACATTGTTGAAGACGGGGATATTATATTTTTCAAATTTAATGCCGGAGCTGGTTTGAAAGATCCAAAAAAGAAGTAAAATGTTAGTTTCCTAACATCTAACTTAATAATCAATAAAATATTCTAATAATGATATAACTTGTTCAATATTTGTTATTATACTTTATACAAATTTGTTCTCATCTGCTTCAAAGGAATATCTTCTATAATTGTGCAATGAATAACAAGGACTTTCTGTTAATAGATTTTTAATAACGCCTTAAATACAAAATTAAATTGGTATATTAAAACAAATACATAACATTATAAAATAATGTGTGATGGTGTATTAAATAAAAAATCTAAATTCTAAATGTTACACCATGTATTCCTATAAATAATTTATTTATTAATAATAATAATAATAATAATAATACAACTATTTAAAAAAAAAAGAGACTAAGAAAACATTGATTTAAATTATAATTCTTACTTAGTTTTTCAGTCACTTTTTTTGGGGTCAGCTCCGAGTCGATTGCCAGACATTTTTCGAGTATACGTCTATAAATAGTTATTTAATTATATGACATGAATATTGGTCTAATATATTTTTAATACTACCTTAATAATTCGTCTTATTTTTACTTCTCTTAGTTTTTCTGGAATTACCATTGAAGTAGTAACCGCGTTTCCCAAGAACAATATAAAAAATAACCCTGACAAAACAGGAACCTAAATAGTATATAAAAATAATTAGTACATGATAATATTTTTTGGTTACACATGATATTAAGTTTAGCCAGTTAATTTGTCTTTATCATACAACATTGAAATTATAATATCAAAAACAATCTATTGTACAACTTTTTGTTTACAATCTTAAATTATCAAAATAGCACTAAAAACTATAAATATGCAAAAATGTGTTAAAAGAAAATTGTATATGACACTGGGAATGTGTGAAATGAATTTGTATAGAAATCTTATTTTAGAGTTTAAACGTTCTAAGACTTACCAGAAAAAATGTGCAAATGCTAAAACTTATGATTCCAAGTCATAACTAATAATTTAAAAGGGCAACAGATCCAGAATTAGTTGTTCATTGTAATTTAAATTTGTAATATTTAAAAACACATAAATAACATAACCTATAAAATATATTTACATCTCAAAAAATATTTAATCACAAATGTACTTATTGTTGACTTTTTAATTATCACTTTTGTACAGTTAAATAAATATTGGTTTTTAGATAGATATTTTAACAACAAGCTCTTGTATTGTATTTGTTTTTAGCCACATTTTATTATACTATGATGTGTAATAAAAATAAATATCAGTATTATGAAACACAGCCATAAAAATAATTATTTTATCCTGGTTTTTGTAATTTTTTTTATTAAATATAAAATCTTATAATTAAAGGTATGCCTTAGCTATTTTATAATTTAGACGGAAATTGCATAAAAATCTGTGTTAGAGTTTGATTATTATAGGATATTATTTAAACTGACGAATATAAAGTATTATTTAATTGTATTTACTGACCTGCCAAGTGGCATGTGGATGATAACACAACTTATATAATGTATATGCGTTGTACAATTGGAAAATATATCCTAGATACAAGAATGGCAGTAGGAAACTAAGACCACGCCACATCCAAGAATGGAAACCTTCAATGGTGATATCCATGTTATGACGTTCGCCTAATGCTTTAAGTCTATATAGAACTCCTTGCTGGTATACAAACTGGAATGATTGAACTACGCCTGGAAGTATATTACAGTTAGAAATGACTAAACATTAAATTAGAATATAATACTTACTAATGAGTACATTAAATATCATGAACTGTGGCCTAAATATGAACCACGTTTCGGAATTTGGCCAAACGAGGAGTACGGCTGAAGCCACAGTAGATATAAAATGATGTACCCTCCACCATCCTTTGATTTTGGAGCCATTTACTTTCAATATGCTTTCGCGTATTGTCAATGTACAATAATACCAGACCAAAAGAAACAAAAAGGTCAATTCGATTCCACGTCTATGTGTCACCAAATTCAATAGAGATAAAAAGAAACCAATAATGCTAAGAACCAATTTGAATTTTTCATATTCATCTTTATATCGGAATCTGTAACACATTTTATTTGTCAAACAATGATTGATTTTTTTCAATTAAAATATTCGCACTTGTCTTCTTTATTCAAAATTGATACATTTACGTTGCCCAGTATAATTTTCAAGTATGTTCCATTGGGTTTGGGTAGTGATTGTTCAATATCCGACAGTTGTTGGCGACGATGGTTAATATCTTTCCAAAGTCGTTGTACGATGTCTTGACGTTCATCATTTTCAAAACTAAACAACAATAACCCAGAATAAATTAGACTATAAGTTGTCAAAATGACAGAATTTAATTAAAATTACTTTTTTAAAGATTTTGCAATAAAATTTAATCGATATTTTTGGTGACTGACTTGTTTCATACACTGACCTTGAAGATCACTAACCTCTTCTACCTTGGCTAAATATTCTTTATTGGCATTCTAAAAATAAAAATAAATTATTATTATAAGAACAACATTTTACGGTACTTAACGGTACCCACCTAACTTATTATACGGGTACTAATTAATAACGATCATAAGTAAATAGGTTTTATATAATATGTGCCACAACTGTTATTATTCTTTGATAATGATAACCATATGCATTATATTGTACACCTAATTATTATTTTATTGTGTACAATGTAGGTACCTATTATAATTTAGAAGGATCTGATATCATAAAATCTAATTTCAATGTAAAATTGTAGAAGTTGTTGGTTGCACATTAATAAACTACCTAGATGAAATAAAACAACAACAAATACTTAGTAAAGAAAAGAAAAAATACTGAAATTCAATAAAAATAATTTGAAAGTGATATGGTTGATCCAGAAGTCATTCGATAGGTACATTTATATTATAATACCTACTTTGAAATACTAAGAGCAACAGTAGGTAACTTATAATAATATTTTTGACTAATGTCCTAATTTAACCACTTGATTTAGAATGTTTTAAAGTATTTTACTATAATTAGGGCCTATAGCAGTTTTAGAGTCCCGAAAAGATCAAAGAATGACCCATGACCAGTCCATTAAATTATGGACCATTACATAAATCATGTATAATGATGTATTATACCTATCTATTACTTATCTATCGTATTAATTACAATACTATTAAATCAAAATTTTAAATATATTTTAATCTAGAAATATGTTATTCGATCATATCTGTCATAATATTATAGGTACCTATAACTAATTATTTAAGTGCAAGTCTATGAGACAGAATTTTAACTATGGTTTTGGATCTTTGAGCACGGGGAAGACATAAGAAAACCTAGTACCTATTGATGGAGAAAACAGAAAAGCCTAGGTTGTAATGGCAACAGTATCGTAGCACACTCGATTTATATAGGGAATCGTTTCGTAGCCAAGATCTCTGAAGATTTTATAACACTAATAAAAATATAGTCGTACAACGTACCTCGAGAGTCTTGTAGTCGCCAGCTATCGAATCCCAGTTCTCGACACACTCGTCTAGGTTGGCGCACTCCATCGCAGTGCGTATTGCGGTCTGGCAGTAGTCGAGTCTCGGGGCGGGTCAAAGATTACGGCGCAACAACCGGCCAAGGTTAAAATGCGTCTGTTGCCACACTCAACAGCAGTGGCGGAGTTCGCGGCCCGATCGCGACGGACGAAGCTCGTTTATTGGTGCGATCGCGCAGCAGCGTCATTTTCTCAGCGGACAGACCGCGTCATCGTCAGGTCTTGGTCGTGGTTTTATCTCGCGTGGACGGCGCACGTGCTCGACGGATGGCTGATCACTGGACCTGTTTTGTGCTATATTGATGATGCGGTGCTGTGTTGTTTACGTCGGGCAGCCGACGGCTGACGGTCGACCGAGGAGGGGGGGAGAAGCAGGAACCCAGCGAGGAAAACTGCGAAAATGCGGAATCGAGATTCGAGAGTGGAAAAATTAAAAAAAAGCTCTGAGCTTTAATATCGGAAGTAGTCGTAGTCGGTTGCAACTTGCGGCTGATAACTGATAACAGTCGAAAGTTGATAACGAACGAGAGCGCGCGTCTTTTACCGGTCGAACCGCGGTGCCCAAAGAGGTTTCAAACGTCACTCAGTACCACGTCTTCTGAGCTGATACTATAATTATTGATAACACCACGGCCGAGAAACTTCTAGAAAATATCTTGTCACGATTTCGCAACTCACCACAGCCCACAGCTGTTTGTTCTGCCCCACCAACATACACAATCGCGTCATAAGCTTTTTTATAGTTTAATTTTTACATAACCAAAATACTAATACCACCTATCGTCATTCTCATTGCTCAGTACGATTCCGCATTATAGTGTTGCACCGAATCACGCCATTACGCTAATTTCTTCAGATTTCTCCAATCCAGTCATAAAGACTTTTTCCATTTGTGAAATTTGTTTTATTTTCGTGTAAACCAAACGACTAAATGGCCAGACGTGGACGTTCTCCGTCACCTGCACCCAGAAGGTAAGTCCCTCGCTAACTTTGCTCTTTGTCGGTCGCCCCTCCGGCAAGGTTATCTATAAATTATAACGTTTAACGTTCATCATGTACGTGATATAGTGATATCGGTGTTGAATTTATTTCACTGTTTCGTAAATTTCTTTCCATATTAGACTTGTTTTAAATTCAACCCTTCGAAAAACGTGGTTCTTTAGTACGCGATAGACAACCCTGTAACGTTACAACCTTCGTCTTGTGTAGATGTACCTACCTAGTTGGAAAAAAATTCCACTGTTTAAAAATAAATCAAATTAGTGTATTTAAAATGTAGCAGTACTACCTAGTCACTATCTAATTATAAAAATTATTTTAATTTATTAATGAAGCAAATTTAATACATTGTGTCGTTGTTGATGAACGTTACAGGCTGTAATAAGAATGTCTCATTAAATTTAAATATGTACTTTTTAAGAATAATAATATTATTAATAATGATGTCTAATCAACAGTCATATTGTATAAATTCTAAATATAAAAATAATAAAGAAATACCTATAGTTATAATATACCTATGGTAATTCGGATTATAATTGGAAAACCGAGTACAACTGGTTGTATTTCTATAACCGCTACTTTGTAGCTCAGAATGTCTATCAATGACAATGTAGAGAAAAGGAGAGAGGTATTGATTTGTCTAGATATATGTTTTTGAAATAAAATACATTCTAATAATTGTTTTATGGTTAAAATAAGTAAGTATAATATTAATAGGTACATTAATAATTTAACCAACAATCTCAATTTCTTTAAACTTTTTATAAAATCTTAAAATAATTAATATTTAATCATGTACTCTGATTGCTGTGAAAACTTATTTTGTTATCCACATTAATTCATAGATGCATAATTATACCTACTTATGTATATCAATCAACAATAATCAGACAAATAATAGTTCTTGCAGTACCTACCAATTGTAATTCTGAATTGTATCAAATTAATCATTTAGAAAACATGGATATTTTTTTACTGTAGGTTCCTATATAATATTTGATGAAGTAAATAATTAGGTAATTAGTGAGTATAAAACTTCTGGATTTCATGAACTATCTACATTTATTTTCTGGTTTGGAGTCTTGTTTATGTACCAAAAAAAAGTTGGCAATATTTTATTTCCTTACTAATATCCTATGGGCAACATAGGTATTATAAGAATTTGCACACCATTGTGCAACTTAAATGAGGTCATTCAAATAATACATAGGTGTTATATTTTAATTTTGATTTAATTATATTTATTTAAACCTGATATGTATAGTAATTTTCTTACATATTACATTTAATAAATATAATTCTGTTTTACATAGGTACCTACCTATTTTAAATTTTTAGTTAATGTCTTATTGGGCACCTATATTTCAACAAATAATTGATGTATAAATATAATTTTGATAATTGTGTATAATAAATCAATGTATTAACTTACTTATGTAATTAATGTTTATCCAAAACTAAATTTGTAATTTATTAATTATGTTTGTACAGAATGATAATTTTATCGAATATAAAATTATAAACCCTAGTTTGTCATTTTCAAACATAAAGAAATGGTGAAAAAGATTTCAAAAACATAATACCCATTAAACGAAATACATGAAATAATGTGTTTATCAATCAAAATATTATCCTGATTCGCACAGTAGTATTTATAGTTTTGATATTAAAATTATGTGTCCCCAAGCTTTGTAGATTTAAAAACAATAGTAATTATGTCAATGTATATTTTTCATAATGTGGACTATAGATTGGCTCTAATTGTTGTTCTTGGAGTCATTCAGACATGTTTGACAACATTTGTCGTAAAATATATTTAAAGTAAATTATTTATTATTTTGTATTAAAGCTTAGGTGAAAGTTATTTGATCATTGGTTAACATGATTCAATAAATATTTTAAAATATGTACACATCATTTATAATTATTACAAGAACACACTGGAGTTAGCACCACTAAAATATTTACGCTGTTTAACCTATGATGTAACATTACTAAGACGCTATCAAGACATTTAAATGTTATTACCTTTTGTTTCTACCCCAATCTTTGTTTCCTATTAATATAATTTGGAAGAAAGTATTTTTCATAATCTATATCACCTATTATTTTAGTAATTTCAAAATAATTGTACAATGCAATTCTGAAACTAATACCTTATAATTTTTAAGTTCTACAATGTTTATAATATTCTAGATAATATTTTAAATGAACATTACAATTTTAGGTCAGCAGTCCCTGCTAGAACACAACAGCGTGCACCAGCACCACAAGCCCAACCAACACAAGTAGCACAAGCACCACAAGCTCAACCACAACAGCCTGGATTATTTGCCCAAATGGCTGCCACTGCTGGAGGTGTTGCTGTTGGATCTGCCATTGTATGTATAATAATTAATACAATTGTAATTTTACAGGAAAAATATAATTAATAACGATAATTTATGTATTTTTAGGGCCACACTGTTGGTCATGCAGTCACTGGAATGTTCGGGGGTGGTGGTTCCCGAGATGAGGTACAGCCTCAAGTTCAACAAGCTCCTCTAATGCCAATGGAGCAGAGTAGCCAGCAAGGTGGAGCTTGTGCTTTTGAAGTCAAACAGTTTTTGCAATGTGCACAGAACAATGATGATATCTCTTTGTGTTCTGGATTTAATGAGGCTATTCGCCAATGCAAGGAAGCTAACCGTAATGTCAACTTTTTATAATTTACAACGAATTTACATTAATTGTTGTTCTTTGTTTTCAGGTTTAATGTAATTAAGATAACTGATAAATGAAAATTGAGAAAGTAGTTGCAAAATTATTATAAACAATGTATTTTTAATGTTAAAATATAGAATCACTACCTTACAAGTTGTTTTTTACATTAGTTATTTCATCATGCAAAATCTATAGGTCAATGGAATGTTATTATTTAGGAATATTTAGTTTTTATATGCTTGTTGTAAGTTATAATTTAAAAAAAAATGATAATTATGATATAATAAACAATATTATAATTTGATACCTATTATTTTTTTAATTTTGGCAAAAATGTTCGGAATAAATAGAGAAATAGAACTGAAGACTGTTGTAATTTAAACCTTAATGTATTTATCTTTGAAATAACATACATTTGCTTTAATGACAAAATAACTAGATAATTACAGAAACTTACCAAACCCTGTCATTATTGTCATGTGGTAACTTTTTTACATTCGATTAATGCTTGATAATTATCTGATATATTAACTAGTACAAAATTCAAATATTTCATAAGACTGCTAACTACTGATTGCAAGAAGAAAAGACAAGGAGGTGATCAGCTGTATAGTAAATTTCGAGTGTACTTTGTTATTGAGTAAGTCACTGTAATTGGTGTGATAAATTTGAATTCAATGTTAAAATCATTCCATTCAAAAAGAATTTTGAATGCAGATCTGTGTATCATAATTGAACTCAATAAAAATTGATTTAAACAATTTAATATCGTTTTATTCCAGGAACCGGTACTGAACTTTATATTATTTATTTGCAAAACACTCAAATAATGCAAATTAAATCAAGCTTTTAATATAGATTTGAATATTATTGAAATTCTGTATTCTATATTTCATTATAACAACAATGTAAACGGTTTTTTTATTTTTTAGTAAAATTAATTTTATAGATTTCAGTTAAATTCAGGAAATGATAAAATTGCACTACAATACTTCTTAGATATACTATGTTCAAGAAATTCAAAAATATAATTCTATGATTTGGTTTGTTTACTTTTGTGAAAACTCAAAATACTGGTGAGATGAAAATGAAAAAGTTGGAACAGATGGGCAAGAAATTAGAAAGACATTAGCTGAAGTAGAAAAGAAACAAAAGCTGGTGAAAACACGGAAGTTTGGTTGAATATTTTATCTCAATGTTTTGCTAAGGATAATTAATCAGATATTTATAATGCAAACAGGCTAAAATTTAAGAAAGAGATAATTTTAGATTTGTTCATTATTGATTTATGTTAATCCATATTTTTGTGCTCCAACAAATACATTTTTTTATTTTATTAGAAGTATTCAAAATGTATGTAAATTTATTATTAGTTATTAACTCTATGATTTTTTTCCATTTAGGTACCAGTTAATTAGGTATTCTTGTGAAATGTATATTAATGTATAGTATTTCCTAAGTTTATTTATATTTATAATTGGGAAGGATTTTAAATACTCTGACATAACATGTAAATTGTAAATTCATATTAATTGCATTCATTTTGATCATTGATTTAAACTATGAAATAGTATTTAATAATAGGCATTGGTAAAGCGTGTGATCTACTGTTAATAGGTAACGGATAATATGTCTTTTGTGACTAAATACAAGGCGATACGCCGATAATGTACGATAACGTCTTAAAAAAATTGAAGAGATAAAAATACATTAATTCCGATCATACAAAGAGAAGTTTTGCCGGGAACTAGGTACCATCGTGTCTGATCACAGAACAATCCTAGAGACCGTGTTCAAGGCCACTGTCACCAGATTTTGCCATTACACACAGTGTCTATGCCCTGATGGTCTGATGAATGGAAATCTTACTCCAGTCCAAATGATATTGGCTATAATCATTTAATTGTCAATCATTCTGAAAATTTCGTGAATCCTGTAAATGGGGCTAACACGCAAACAATAGAATGTTTATGGTCGATATTAAAATTTTAAATATTAAGAAAAATTCATAGGACTAATGAAAATCTATTACCACGTCATTTAATTGTATGTTGGTACCGCTCGATAAAGAATAGTAATAATTTACTTATATATTTTTTGGAAGATAAAAAAAAAGTTTGTTTCTTAAAAAATAATATTGTAACTATTATCATATTTTGAACACAATTTATATATTTTGAATTTTTGACTAATACTTATTGTATCATTTGTTGTGTGTACTTTTTAACTTTTTACTTTTTAACGTGTTAAATATAGTTTTTTTTAATTTAATAATAATATAATATTACATATTTATTTCTTTATCTACTGTTTTATCGGTAAATCACACGCTTTACCAATGATAAATAATATTATATACTATAAGCAAAAAAATCGAAAAAATATAAATTACAAATTAAACTATTCTGTTGACTGTTATGATATTTGACGATTTATAACAGCTGTCGTTAACCAGTCATATAAAGATATACAGTTAAATATTCATAATAATGTTCTCGTGTGTGATAAATATTTTTTAAGTGTTGACTTGACACGTAGATAGCTAGATAGTATACCTATTACTAAAATACTATTTTTGGATGACTTGTTTACTTCTCACGATTAATAAAATGCCTGTTGAAATCGTAGTCCAATCTAAAATCTAAATCCTAATGTGCTATGTAGAATAAACTGATAAACGTGACTAAATAATTTTTTTTGCCATGCTGTTAAATGAATCGTCATTTTCAAATTAAAACTTAACATTCAAATATTATATGTTTTTAAATTTTATAATGTTTCTAATAATTATTTCTATCTCGAAAGAGCCTTCGGACTAAATTATGAATATTTTTCAAGTATTGTTGTAACCGGGGATTTTTTACCGTATTTTTGTTTTGGGTTTTTTTTTTACCGATTACCTTTGCTGTAGACGTATAAACTAAAGAATGGCTAAATAATTAGCCATGGTTTTTATGACTCCGTCTTTAAAATAAAGTGTTCCTCCTATATTGTGTCCATATGGCATAAGTAAGAATACATTATATTTATATATAAAAAAAATGCGTCTTATCAGCTTATCATGCTAGGCAGTAAGTTATCAAGATACAAACTTGTTGAAAAAAAAAACTCTACATACCTATTTACTTACATAATATTATTACGGTATTACAATAATAATAATTAAAGTATTGCTATTTGTTACATATTTTTTAATTACACTTGCCTTGAGGCTTGAACTCTTTATTTCGACCGACAAGTAGACGCTATCAGTTTTGGGTACCCACGCACGACACGGTTTTCTAATTTACAGGGATTTCGTTTAGCCCCTGGTGATCTACCGGTGCGGACTCATCAAAATTATGTCCTCCGCCTTCGGATGCGGTTCGCTGCCGCCGTAGCAAAAACGGCTGTCCAACTCGTTGTGTCAGGTAAGCAGAGTGTGTATAGTAGCGGTCATGGGTTTGGCTCCTGGTAGTCTCTCAGCACCATCAATAATGTTATTTGGGGGGGGGGGGTATGGGTCAGGCATCGCCCGCTCGCATATGGCACACGGACGGTGGAGTGCAGTGGGTAGTCTGTTTTGTTTGAACAGATCGTCGTTCATTTGATTTTCTATTTTTTTCCCCATGTTTTTTCAGTTCACTGTTGTGGGGAGCCGTCACGGTGAACAGGTTGAGTTGCCGTTCACCACATTGGCCCACCCTGAGTACGGTACGTGAATGATGGAGAACAACGTGAGAGATGAACTGCAGCCGACTGCCGACGACGACAACAATCGTGGTAACCTATAGTTTTTTACTGCCGCACACACCTATTACCTCTTTGTGTTCATTTTTCTAAGTGTTTACACCTATACATATACATATTACACATTTTATATACATATTATGTGTACATATATATGTATTTTTTTTCATATTGCTAACTACACAAGACTTCTTATGTGTATTATATATTTTGGTTTGTTGCACACTGTGTGTTATTTTTACAATGTTTTACAAACACATTTTTTGCACGATCGTTCAAGCAATTCAGTGTATACACATAAGTTTAATTTGCCAATACTTATGGGTCTCATTGTAGGTATTAATCCACCGAGTTTCACGTTTACACTGAATTACTTGTGTTCATTTTTATGGAGGTTTTATTGTTTTTAATTTAATTTTTTGTTTTACAAAATAAATGTTATCAATGCTTATGTTGGTGTTGCACGCTCTTTATATCAACAGGTCCGTTGACTTTGGACTTGCTTCTAAAACAAATTGATGAATTGCAATTGGAGAAAAAAGAGTTTGGCTTGCAACGCGCCAAAATGAAGGGGTTTATACTGCAAAAAGAAGGTGACCAGTTATTGCTTTGTTGCTTTATTTTTGTATAATCTGTATATATGCCATTAATTTCTCCATTAATTTCATATATAATATTTTGCAAGACACAAATATAATGAGTTTAATTATTAGAGGAGCTCAAGCGTATGTCAACTGTCTCAGCCGAATTGAAAAGGTTACAAAATGAGTTAGATGAATCACAGAGCCAGCATACTGTAACTAAACTTGAAATGGAAGGACGGTTTGAGGAACAAGCCCGGAAATATAATGAAGAGATTTCTTCATTGCATAAAGTCGTTGCTGGTAATATTTTTGATGAAGTTACCTATAAATATTACTTAAATATTTTAAAATTTACTTATTTAGAAACTTTGGAAGAATCGAGGCGGCGTGAAAATGAAACTAAAATATACAAAGCAATGAATGAAAAATTGGAAAATGAACTAAAAAATTGTCGCAATCAAATGCTAATTGGCCAGCAGGGAAATAATATACTGGGTGAATCAACACAACAACAAATTCGTAATGTACCTGGTACAGTTCTTTCTGCTATTGCTAGAAAAATGACAAATCTTGCTTCTAGCACTGAATCTGATGACTACAGAAAGGTAATCATAAATATTTTGTTTGAATAAATTACATAGATAATCTTTATAATTTTCTTAATTACTTATTCTAGTCTCAGGATGATGAAGATAATGTTTATAAAGCTCTAGTGGATCCATTAAAAGAAGAAGTTGAAGCACTAAAAGAAAAAATTCGTGAAATGGACACAGATATCAGCTACTATAAAACTAAATTAAATGAATCAAAGGATAAGGATAATGTTGTTGAAAAGCTGAC